TTCTGGTACTACCCTCTACAGTTTTCGTTTGCTCAAGCTAGCGGGGTTACTGGCAATTACATACTTATATTATAGATGCGCTATTCGGCGATTCTGTAGTGTGTCTACTTTCGTTATTTTGTGTAGGCACGTAATGTTTTTCATAGCACAGAGCCTTTATTCCCCTTGTGTGTTTAGTGGTATCTTCTAATCGTTCTGTGGAAGCTCCCAGCCATGCTTGCCGTCCTTTCCAATCTCGGGTAAAAAGCGGTTTACCATAGCCGAAAATTGGCTGAGATTTCCTGGGGAGATTACAGAGGTACCCCGCGCCGTCAGACGTGGGCGGAAGATTCATCGCCGCAATCAGCGCCATCTACAGACGAGAGTTCACCCGGAGCCGATCCTACCACTTCCCGGGGCAGCAGAAAGATGTGACACGTCTTCTCATAGATGTAATCAGCCACCGACGACACACTATCAACAACTTATTAAGGGAGATAGATCCGAGCGCGTCGGGAGGCAACCCAGGCGGTGTTGTACGGTACACAGCCCGGCCGAGGGAGAGATGTCCAATCCGTCAAGGAGCTTAACACTTGACAGCGATCTCGTCTACGTCCAACCGTTGTCGTGTGCATGTATCTGATGTAGCTTACAGGCTGGATGTACGCGTATTCTGTACGGAGTTAACACATTATTCCAGTCATGTAACCCGCGCGGTTATGTAAAATATACCCCGCTGAAGACTGTGGTGTCAGTCTCTGGTCCTACTGGACTTCATTCAGGGATTCGGGGGCCGCAGAATTTCATCTGACGTGTAATTGTGGAGTTGATTGTGTTCCTGATAGAAGTAGAAATTGATGCAGAGGCGTGATGAATTGTCACGTGGAGATCGAGGCAGGGCCACCACTCCGTGAGCGGCGATCGTTAATTACCAGTCGCGCGACGTTTTAGTGCCTCCCCGGAAGGGCTCCAAACGGCGGCCAACCCAGAGAATAAGAGGATGGAAGAGGGCAGGCGGCAATTGTCAGCTAGAGCCTCGGGCATCTCGTAAAGAGATCGTAAGGAGGATCGTAGGGCGCGGCTTGTATAAGAATGGAAAACGATTTTGGAGCTGGCCTAGCGCTAGATGTTTACTGTGGCGGAGGATGCTACGCCGCGCATCCCTGATAATTACTGTGTCCAACAGCTACAGAGATGCTGCCTTGCGTGGCCTTACCAGTGGACCCAAACAACGCTTGACGGTCAATATGCGATTGCCCTTCCATCTACGTCCTCTGTCGCCTGATCGTTAGTAGGATTTTATACCCGCTGTGTATGCATGGATGGATGGGATGAGTCGAGCATGTGACAAACGATTCTACTGAAGGCGGTTCAGCACTCAAAAGGTAAGAGCCAATTGACTTTGACCACAGCCATTAGAGGATTCTTTGCCACCGCAAGAAAGTCAGTCGTTCGCATTTATTTTTTCGTCGATAGGTTTTGGTCTATTGGCAACGAACCTCTGGCATATTTGTAAAGCATTAGGTACAGCATTAGTTCCAGTGCTAGTATCTTAAGTCCGTGGCAACCGTGAGCATTTGGTGATGTTGTTGCAAAGCCCCGTTACGGTGCGCGTTAACAGGATTTAAAAGCTCTAGCCACCTGTAAATGTCATACGTGCCTCTAGAAACAACGCTTCCTTCGGTCTAATCTCAGCCGCGTATATTTATCATTAACGCCAAAGGCCAGGAATCACGAAAAGCCAGACCATGTCTGTGCAATTAGGTGTGACGGTAACGGAAAGAAAGCTTCGTAAATACTGGAAAAAT